CAGATCATTATTATAAATGTCAACCTGAATTTCTTCAAACCGATTATAGATGGAATTTGATTCAATCTCATTTAGAACATGAAATAGTCCATCATGAAAACACGATCATCTGTTTACAAGAATTATCTCTTACTCTCTTACCTAAACTTGAATTATTTTTTCGTCGTTTGAATTACACTTTCTTTCATAATCTGTATGGTCCACGGCGTAATGATTATATGGGTGTAGGCATAGCAATTCCAGTTTCGATGCAGCTCAATTCAATTTCTTATATCAAAATTGGAGATCATATACGTTCAATTAGTAAACTTCATGAGAAAAAAACCAATATCTTTACATGGGGATGGAATCTGTACGAATGTGTCATGAAGAAATTTATACGAATTGCATCTGATCCATGGGAAACTGCCATGGCTAGAAGCAATACTCTCATTTGTATACAAGTCGTTATCGATAATAAACCACTATATATTGGTACGTACCACATGCCTTGTCTTTACAAAGAACCCAATGTCATGTCAATCCATTCTTTGGTTGTGAAAGATTTGATGTTTCAATTAGCTGCTGGAGAAAATTTTATTCTAGCAGGTGACTTCAATATAAAACCATGGGATATCTGTTATCAAGTTTTAACAGAGAATAATTATGGTGGTTGCAATTTACCAAAATCCAATACTTATGAAATTTCCTATCGACCTAATTGTGAACAAGTATTAAAGAGCGCCTATCGAGAGAAAAATGGAGCCGAACCTGTTTACACAAATTTTTCTGATACACTACCATCACCAAATTTTTGCGCTACACTCGATTACATTTTTTTTAATGGTCATCTTACGGTTGAAAAAGTATTGGAATTACCGGATCATCCTTCTGGTGAATCTTATCCGGATGAAACTCATCCTTCAGATCATCTGATGATTGCAGCATCATTTCAATTATCGTAATTTAAGAAAGGTGTTTGAATTAATTTTTTTTTCTGATAATGTCAATAAAATAAATTCATTCTTGCAACAGAAATTGTAATTTGTATAAATGTTAACACGACAAAATTTTACTTTCTCAAGGTAGAATAATCGTTTTCAAAGAGAATTATGTTGCAAACAAGTCGATCTTATATTGAAATGAATAAATATTCATGCAAATAACTACTCACTCTCATTTTTATAAGGGTGTGAATATGACTGTGGACGGCTGTATAAATGTTTGACTTCTCATAACTCATAATAAGATGTACATTTTACATTACACACCGATAGCTTTTGTAATTAAATGATTTTTTTTTACATTTGCTTGAACAATAATACCTACGGATTCTACATGAAATAATGGAACGAGGAAATATAATGATGATTGCTATAGCACCATATGAACAAAAATCATCAGCAACACTACTGTATTGATTAGTCTCTTGTATTGTTATAGTTCATTTAACATTTTTCATATTTGAAAAACATTTCACATTGCAGAATATGTACAACAAAGCCTTTCTGGATTTTCTCTTATTTCGGAAATGTTTCTCAAACGATCTCGTCAATTTATTAGAAGTTTTTTCAAACTCTACATAGATTTTGTAAAATATTACTATCTTAAACGGTGTCAAAGTTTTAGAAGTTTCAGAGATCTATTTAGAACTTGGGTAAACTTCTACGGAGTTTCCAAAATAGTCTCGAAAACCTTTCTACAAGAAAATTATCTGAAATCTACTTTATTAATTTTCCACAAAGCGACTATTTTTCATTAGAGTGTATTTGGCAGTGTGTGAGTAAAAGAAGATTAATACATTCACATTCACATCCATCCTAGTCTTGAAAGAAAAAACTGATACTGGTATTTGTCTATGATCATTAATGAGTTATTTATTCCATCGAATGAAAGGTCTAAAAAATTTTTTTTTTATAAGAAAAGCAATTATTTATACTTCAATAAGAATTCTTTCAATATTTTCTAAAAATAATCCTTGAAATTGTCCTGGTTGCATGTGTGGCATATTTAATGATAAATAATATTGAACATTGGGTTGTATAACAATATTTGTTAAATCTAAGTAGAATCCGATAAATCGTTGTTGATAATAATGATCATGTGTATTATAACTTTTATGTACAATAATTGAATTATTATTGATTTGAGCAGTTATATTCCATTGATCATTTGGATTTAAAATATATATAAATAACAAAAGACGATGTGGTCCTAACCATGATGCATCATTTAATTCTTTTTCAGTCCATTGAATAGAATATTCTAATTGACGTGTCACTAATTGTTTCAATAATAAATCACTAATCATTATTGTATTATTAAGAATTTCTGCTGAACGTGGTAAATATAAACCAGAAAATGATAAAGGATCAGTTAAAATAATAATATGATTATTTTGTTTAAATCGTTTTTCTATTCCATTTAATAATACATTAAATATCAGATCTTGATTTGGTAAAATAATAGATATAGGATTATTTGTTTGTGTACCAGCTTTACCATAAACTCCATCAATAATTAATATATTTTTATTTGTTAAAAAAGCTTGTCCACTAATGCCAACAAGAATTGGTTGATCAATTATTGAAATAAATATTAATTGATAAATTGAAACAGATTGACCATCTAATAAAAATTCATTGGTTTGATTATATTCTATAAATAATATAAATCTTTCTTGTGGATAAATTTCTTTTAATAACCAATAACCTTGTTTTTGGGGATTTTTAAGATTTAATTTTCCATCAAATAAAATTTTTCTATGAACTTGTTTATAATATGGATTAAATAAAAATAAATATCCATCAAAACCATTTGATTTCATTAAAGACCAGTCTTGTTCGATATTAAATGGTATACTATTATGTATTTCTTCAATATGTTCATCTGTCTATTTTAACCAATAAGACCAAAATTCTAAAAAATTTTCAGGTAATAAATAAAATTCTTGTAAATCACGTGCTGGTATATATGTATGAATAAGATTTAAACCAGCTGTTGCTATATTCGATAATAATGAATATGAAAAACCCATTAAATCAAAATCTCTTAAATTATTATCTATCCATGGTAAACTTCCATTGGATGAATAACGTTCTGTTTGATGTCCAATAAAACCAAGAATACAATTCATTGATGCGAAATGTTCCAAACGTAGTTCCACATTTCCTTGACGCATAAAATCTGCAGATATTTTATCAGTATGTAAAGATGGATATAATATTGGATATGTTTCAGGATTTTCATCACTTAATAAAGGTGATGTATAACCATTTAAAGTAATCCATGACCAAGGACCATCATATTGTGATGCATAACGATGATCCATAATTAAATATGGTAATGCAACAAATAACTCGGTACGAATCCATTGCCAACCACGCCATTGACTATATTCTGTATTTTCAGTATCATAAAAAAATTATAATCCCATGCATATTCACCAATATCTAATTATTTAAATATTCAAAAATATTAATTTCTAAAGGAAGATGCATTACCTGTAATTTGTGCAAAATCAATTAATAATTGTAAAAAATATTGTTGAAATTCTATACTTGCTAGAGATGCACAAACATTTTTACAATGTGAACTTGGAAATAGCCAAGCTTGATCTTTTCCTTTCGATCGATAACCTAATGGTGGATAAACATATGGAACTAATTTTATTTGTTTTAATTGTGCATAATCTAACATTTGTTGAATTGTTAAAGGTATTGAATCATGATAAGGTTTCCATTGTTCTAAACGAATTTTCTCACCTAATGATAACCATAAAACAGATTCCCAGTCCCAATCGTCAGTGGCCTCTTGACGATCTGATACATTTGTATTTGATGGTGCAAATGTTAGACTATTTATTCCAAGTTGTGCACAACGATCAATTAAACGTTTATATTGATCAATATCATGTAATGTTGAGATGTCTATTTGATAATCATTACTATCCCAGCCACCTGCATGTTTTATTGATTGTTTACGTTGTGATACAGGATAGAAAAAACTTGTTGCTTTTTCATAAGCTTCTCTTTCAGCATAATTAATATCATTATTATGCCAATATGAAGATAATTGATAAAAACCAATAAGAAAACCTTCACTTAAAAAAGATCTATTTATTCCTATTTGATATGAGCTTATTACTGTTTGATTATTTGATGTAATAGAATAATGACCAAATGGATGTTGCCATGTAGAAAATATTCCTAATGTATTTAATTTAGTTCGTAAGAAAATAGTATGTTCTTTATTTAAATCTTGTCGATTTCGAATAATCGAAACAGATGGAATTATTTTATTCGTCAGAGTAAATGTTGTTTCAATTGATGTTATGTTTTTATTATCAATATTTTCAAAATAAATTTGTATTTGTAGAAATTCCCATTGAAATTTTAATGTATAGATTATAGTTAGTTGAGAATTTGTTTCATTTAAACAAGAATAAGTAAAATTAATTGAATTTACATCTTCTTTGAAATTTATTAATTTTGAACAATCAATTCGAATATTATTGATAAAAATAAAACTTGTTTCATTTTCTATTGTTATTAATTGGGATTTATAATTAAATGATGTTATTTGTCCATTAGATAAATTAAATTGAACAGTTAAATTTTCATTGGATAATTCAAATAGATTTTCATGATAAAAATGAATCATTATTGATGTAGAACAATAAATTAAAGTAAATGTCAATGCAATATGAATATAATATATCGAATACATTTTTTTCGATTTATTCTGTAAGAAGTACAAAAAACAGATGATGTATTTTCATGAAAAATAGATGTTTAATTAAATAGCCACTCAATTATTATGATATGATTCAAACGGAATGAAAAGATAAAAGACAAATATTTAAACAAATATGATAACATATATTAAAACAGAAAAATCACTTTCAAATTGAACGCATTTATATTTATTTTGAACTCATATTGATTCAGACCATAGTTAACTCTGAGAAAGCACATACCTGATCTATATTGATGATATATGCACATCTAAGATATCATTCAAAAGCAATGCTCTTTAATGGTTTCGAAACTCATTGAAAATGAATGTTTGTATATATAATAAGAGTGGGACCTATTGTTATCATTTTAACAGTCTTTTTATCTATTAGGGTGTGGGGTGTGGGTGTGGGTGTGGGTGTATGGGTGTGGGTGTGGGTGTATGGGTGT